TGCAGAAGTCAATCCAGAGATTGATTCACAGAGAGCCTTCCTTTCAGAAGAATTCATCTAATTAGAGTTCCTTTGAGTCAAACAAGATATAGAAAGAAGTGATTTTTATTCCCTTTCAAATATGCACTATAGAATCTTTCCATCTTTATACCTAACTGCCAAACTTTATAGTTTTGTAAACAGTAATATTCAGTATAATGTTTGTATGAATAGTTTAGGATTAACACAAAAGGAAGAGCTCCCCAACTAAAAAGTTAAGAAATGTCTTACTTCTTATTCATGTAGTAACTGCCATAGAAGGTCCTATACCATACATTTTCCTCTTTTATAGCCTGTCATTTGTGACATATTAAAAATGAATAAAGGACATCCTCAGTTTGAAAATGAAATATTATGATGTCATTGTGAAGCAGAAAGGGGTAGTGAGATTCAGAACCAAAATCTCTTGGCTGTGTATATATGTGAGAAAGAGAACAGAAAGAAAGTCCCCTGCATTTATTTCCCAGAGCTGACTTGTTAATGCTAAAGCTGCACTAATTCTGAAAGTCGCCACATGCCATGCAAACTGAAAACCTAAACAAAAGGATATTGGGATAAGGCACTAAATAAGGTTCTGTTGTGTACTCTTCCAAGCTGTTCAATCTGTGTCTTTCACAATTCTCTCTATAGGAGGGACCATCAAGATTGCTTTCTCTCCAAGTGCCTGAAAATAGTTCCTATCTTGATTGGGCTGCCTCAGTCAAGTAATGTATACTAACTGGATTATTAGAATATTCTTTTTCTAAAAAAATAGTGTCTCACTGTGTAGCCTAGGCTGACCTCAAATTCCGCACCCTCCTGTCTTGGCCTTTTAAATTACATTACAGGTACACATATTTTAAAGTACATATAGAATCTGCACTTAATGAGTTTATACAAATTAGATGTGTAAGTAGTAAATATGAAAAAAATGATAAAAAGTATGTGGAATAGAACAGTAGGCCCAAGACTGCACTGGAGGGTTAAGAATATGTATAATCTTGGCAATGGACTTGAAGGCAGAAGATTGAGGATCAGGCTTTGGAATTTGCTGGTGACTCTTACCTCTCTGGCCATATATCTGAGTTTGCCAAACCTACTGGAATGAGCAGAGATGATTATTCTTTGAGTAGGTTAACAAAATATACATCTCCAGATAGTGAGTTAGGAGGATAATGGCATCTTCCAGTCGAGAGGTCTAATGTATAGCATGCTGGTGAGGAGACACACTTATCTCTCTGGGTGGTAGGGAGCCCACTCTCAACCATTCACCTGCATGCCTGTTACACTGCTGTGTCTGCTAACATTAGATCTCTAGGAAAATGTTAAATAAACTCCAGCCCTTTGCATTCCTGTGAAGCTGCTACCCACACCCATAGGACTTCAAGGAAGATAAGGAACACAGTTATTTAGCTTTTTTTCTCCCTGAACTTTTATCTTTTGGATGGCATTAAGAGTAACCATATCTCTATTTCAGCCTCAAATTCCATATTGAATTTTTTAAAATGCTTTTTGAGCATTAACTTTTCCCTTGTTGCTTAACCAGTCATACAAGCCAAGGCTTCTGCCTCTAGGCCTATTTTATAATAGCTGCTCTGGGAGAACAGATGAAAAATAAGACAGTTAGATATTTTATGAGTATTGAAATCCCCTCCATTCAGAAATGTAAATAAAATAACCAGCATGAGCAATCAGCTTGTCAGATTCCATGGGTTTATGTTACATGGGAAAATTATAGTGCAACCTGAAACATGCTTCTTAATGAATTCATAGTGGTATCACAGTTGAACGTAAACCCTTGAGCTTTTCTTTTGTGAAGCTTTCAGAAATCACCTTTAATAAACTGCCTAGGAGAGGAGGGGAAAACTAAGATGATACTTACAAATGCTATCACTGTTAGGTAGCTACCTCCCTTCCAGTGCTCAGTCATGCCAGCCACATAAAGCAGAAAAACCCAATTACCTTTTGGCTTATTCAGGGAACATAAAAATATGCACTGAAGGCTGGGCACAACCCACAGTCAGTTTCTGAAAGTGGCACCAGGAAACTGCTAAAGAGGAGCAGGATTGCCCTTGTGCTTTTTGTCATTGTAAGTTAAGGAAATTCAGTTAAGAGGGATGACAGAAGCCTGTGAAATAGCTGTTTTTATTTTCAGCAAGTCCAGGAAACCGCAGATCTAAGTTGGGATCATAAAACATAATTTGTCCATCTTTGGCTGTTGATCTAGTGCCCTATAGTGTATGAGATCTATCCTCTTGTTTATCAATCAATCAGTTTTGTGGTCTCTAAAGCTCTTCTGAAGTTCCCCTCTACGCATTATGGCCTCAGATAGGATATACACAAAAATCCAATATACCAGATGGCATATAACTGATTGGTCAAGTTTTAAGGTTTGGAGTGAGGAGAAATGTATTTTCTATTTTAAATTATTCCTTTTTAATATTATATTTCCTTATGAATTTGGTATGATTGATTCCAGGTTCTAGGCCTAAAATCTACATTAATATATCACAGTTCTGGGTATTTAATATCACCTGCTTAGCCCAGAATTTCAAATGATAAGGAGTATTAAATTAAATGATACATAGCATTTTGCTGGGCTTTTCCCTGGTCTCTTTGAGACCTTATATTTATGATAGATGAACTCATCCTTGTGTTTTCCTATCAGTGTGTTTTCCCAGGTATTTACTAATATAGCTGCTGTGTGGCCCTCTATGGGACTCTAAATCTTTTGACAGTTTAGGTACATAGTCACCTCACATTTAAGCCCTGATCTCAGCATTCTGATTTCTGTATATTCCCAAATATATATAGTATATACTTGCTTGAAATTCCTTATATATTGCTTGTACATTCTTGCTTGTAAGCTTCAGCATGCATCAGTTCATTCTACTTAGAATGCCTTCCACCGGTTAATGCCTTATAACATTCTAGCTCTAAAGTACCTCCTTTGGAAAATCACCTCTAATGAATCTCATTCACATTTCCTTTATTCTAACATTTCTGTTTCCCAATCTGCTACCTGTTTGATCTCTTTGTAACTGCTGTTTCTATGCTGTCTGCCAACAAGCATGATTCTAGCAATGATGATCTTCCTCCCACCCCAACCCCCGCCCCCGCCTTTTTCATTCTATGCAAACCTTTTAAAAATATTTTATTATTTTTATTTTTATGTATATGAGTGTATTGCCTGTATGTATGTATGTGTACCCATGTTGTGCAATGCCCGTGGAGGTCAGAAGAGGGCATTGGATCCCCTGGAGTTACAGAGAGTTATTAGCTGCCATGTGGGGGCTGGCAATGGAACCCGGGTCCTCTGCAAGAGCCGCTGATGCTCTTAACTGCTGAGCCATCTCTCTAGTTCCATTCTATGCAAAACTTTGAAGGCCTACTGATGGCCTTTTCAGTTTCCTCAGAGTCCTAATTGACTTTCCATCCCTTTTCTTTTTACTTCAGAGTTACATTCCTAGAGAAACAAGGCATTTGTTCAGGGCTGGGCCTCTACATCAACATGTGTGTGGCAGTCTGCTAAACTGGTCCCTACAATTGGAAAATATTTAATCCTTTGATTTGTCCATCTCTGCAGTCTCCTCAGACACCTTCAAGCTATAGACATGAGGCCAGGAGTAGACCTAGAGATATAAGTAGGGAAATTTCCTCTGAAAGCCACATTATAATGTTCCTTCTTTTTACATAAGAGCTATGAAGCTGCTGTCATCAGCAGCTCACCCAACATACTCCTGCTCTGACTCTTTTCCAGGAGTCAGGGTTAGTTTAAGAAAAAGCCTCTTGCTAGAAGCCATGACCTCGTACTTTTATCCCCTCCATCTGGTGTGCGGCCTCATGGGGCTGTGCTGCTATGCAGGAGGTGAGCAATGGAATTCTTTAGATGATGACTTCTGAGCCCACATGTGGAGGCAGTTGGGGGTGGGAAGCAGGAGAGCAGTGAGAGCCAAGATCGATGGACCAAAAAGTAAGGTTTGCTGGGGGAGAAATCCTGACTATAGGTACAATGTTTTTCTGAGGTGTTCTTTCCCTAGATGAAGCAGGGGCCAGGTCAGAGAACTGTAGCTTCCCAATCTGTGACTGATGAATACTGTGTTCCTGCAGCTTTCCCTTCTGCCTTCTCAGCTGGGGCGCACCAGTGGGATAGGTAGGGTATTCGAGGGCTTATGCCGTCTCTAACCAAATGCATTCCAAGATGGAACAGGGAAGGGTTGTGTTGGAGCTGTTTTTTCTCACTGTCTTAGACTTAAACTGAGGTCCAGATTTTGAGTGAGGGTGGGAAGAGGGATTGAAAGAGGCAAAAATTTTTGATTCAGTGAAGTCTGTTGTCTGCCTCATCTCATAGGTTTTTCTCTGCATCATACATGTCCTTTGCTTTCAGGTGTGTCCAACCTGTGGCCCATATGCACCTGCATGCAGATGGTGCCATGAACATGGCCCAACCTAAAGCATGAGGGGATCTTTGTGATTTTTTTAAAAACTTGATTGCACAGTTCTCAAGCATGAACTTTGTAGGTAACAATGTTGTGCTGCAAAGTCAAAAGGTCAGACATGCCTGGGAGATGAACTGCTTGTCTCTAGAGGCCTTGGGATCTGTACTAGACCATAAGTAGGCTGGGGCACAGTGGTGTTCTAGCACTCCCACTCCCTGCTCTTATTTTCCTGGTCCAGGAGTTGATGGTGGTTTTTAAAAGAATGGAGTCTCAAGGGGCTGGAGAGATGGCTCAGCAGTTAAGAGCACTAGTTTTTTTTTGCAGAAGACCCGGATTTGAATCCCAGCACCCACATGGTGGCTAACAACTATCTATAACTCCAGTTCCAGGGTATCTGACGCCCTCTTCTGTCCTCTGTGTGCACTGAATGACATGGGTGTGCTTACACATATGCAGACATTAACACTCATACACATAAAATAAAAATGAGTAAATTTTTAAAAATAAATAAATAAAAGAATAGAGTCTTGAAGGGGATAGTAATACAAGCCCAAAGTTTTAATCATATCTTCTTCCGCTCTGTCTATGCATTGAGAATCACTGGAAAAGAACTTAGAAAGAATTAAAACAAAAATTTTAATGCCAATCTGAAGAATGGGATGGGGCTACAAAGAGCAGAGCTGTTTAAGTGGAGAATACTTTGTAGAGTGACCACTTGATAGTAACAATAACAGCTGCAAAAGTGGTGAAGAGGATGAGCTGATGAGGTTTGGTACCCATTAGGCTATGTCTCTGTAAACTCTGCTCAGACACTTTGCTGGCAGCCTAGGACTCCTTTCTGGCTTGGACATGTTTTAGCAGTTTCTGTTCTCAAGTGCTGGAACTCTGGCACCCCTAATCCTAGCATCCTCAGGCTTTGAGTATACAGGATTTGAAGCTAGGAAACTAGGTTTGTATTCTGGCTGGGTCATTCACTGAACCTGTCTGAATGGCACCTATAAAACAGAATAACTCCTGCCTCACAACTCCTGGGGTTATTGTGAGAATTATATGTATGCACAAGCATTTTGTGAACAAAAAGGCTTTTTGTGAGCATTATATGTTATTCTTGGGAAAGTCCCACCTTGGAATTTCTCAAAGAATAAAATTATGGATGAAAACTGTCATTTTTCTTCACTCAGCACAGCCTTTCTGTTTGGTCATGGCTGCCTACAGAGGCTGGTGGTATTGACACAAAGTCACCAAATTTTTCTTCCTTTGGTCAAAGAATTCCCATGTCCAGCTTCTATATCCTTACATTCATGGGTAAAATGGAAGTTACTTCAGAGCTAGGGAGTAAAAGAGACTGCTTATCTTACATTTTCAAGTCCTGACTAAAATATCTTATGTAAGTAGCCACAAAGATTCTTAGAGATAGTTCAGATTATGCATGGGAAGTAGGGTGAGTTTATAAACTCTTCTATCCCTTTTACCTTGAGGTTAGGTTAAGGCTTGTTACTGACATGCTACTGGCTATCGCCTGAAACCTGTCAATCATCCAAAGAGAAAAACAGCTTCTGAGAAAGCTTAGTTCAGTTCAGCAACTGTGACATATTTACCCTCATAAAGCTACAGCTTATACTCTCCTAGTGCCTCTCTCTTACAGAGATCATTTTGGAATCCAAAGTTATCTTGTTCTAACCCCGTAAGACTTCAAAATAGCTGGTCACAAACAGCAAACTCAGAAACTACACATACATCAAAGAAGTCACAGGAGACTGGCCCATCGTTCAGAGCACATAGGATGTGCACCTCTCTGCCTCGAGGGTGAACCACTTTGAGAAGTTGTAACAGCCTCAGCCACTCTGCTTGGGTGGCAATTCTCCACCCTTGATCTCTTCTCATTATGCCCTTTCCGAATCCTTCCTCACTACCTCCCAGGGGAATACCAGTTCCCAAAACAAACATCTCATTGCCTGTTGATAATGTAGTTTTGTAACATTCCCTGGTTGTAGCTGACCCTGTTGTTGGTATGATTTTTTGAAGGATCTAGTTGCTTATTTTTAATTGTTGGAAAGGTGGAACTACTATAAATTCCTATGCTGAGAAAAGCTATGTGTGTGTGCATATAGGTGAACCTCCTGCACATGAGTATGTGTATGTCCTGATATGCATATAAGTGAACCTCCTGCACATGGGCATGTGTATGTCCTCATGGCTGTGCTCAGGCTGACGAGGGCAAAAAGTAATAAGGAAGCAAGTCTTTCTTATTTTCCAACGTTGCTTCAAAGATGCCCAGCACCCCCCTCACCCCTCCCAGTAGCAGGCAGTTCCCAAGTGGAAGGTGGGGGCAGAGGCCTCCACCAAGGCCATCAATAACCAGGTGTGAGCTACAGGTCTCTGTGTAATGTGAAGCTCTCCCGTATTTCATTTCTGCACCCAGGGGGCGGCTCTGTAGGATTGCTTACGGAGAGCTCTGTGTCTGGCACCTCTCTCCACAAGGCCCAGGCGCCCAGGGTCCCACCGACCTGCCCAGGAATGCATCGCATTGTTCTCTGGTGCTGTAATTTGGCCGCAGGAGCTGGACTGAATGCCTCGCAGGGATGAGAATCATACTCTCCCTGACTTCCTCCCTTCTCCCCAGCTAGCTGGTGCTTCTGCCCTATGACCACTGAGAGCATTTAAATAAGAATTTCAGAAAGGGGAGGGGGATCCTGATTATCTGTCTTCTATTAAGCCATACAGAAACTCATGTCTTGAGTGGGTCTGAGAATTTGGCAAAGGGCTTGGTGGTTGGTGTTCTTGATAAAGGATGTGGAAGAAAAGGGAAGAAATGGTCTCTTGCTTGCAATGGAGAGGAATAGAAATGAGTCTGTGAGTACTCATAAATTAGAGCTACAAAGCTTTTTACAAACAGACTCCGAGAGTAGTGCTTTCTTCTTTTCATTTTGCAGCATTACTCTAATGAAGAGTGAAGAGTAGATCTTCTCTGTAGTACTAGGGAAAGGCTGGCATTCTTAGTTTTTGTTTCTTGTTTGTTTGAGACAGGGTCTGACTTTTTACTCTAGCTCACTGTGTAACACGGGCTGAGTGCAAACACACAATAATCCCCCTACTTCAGCCTCTCAGAATGCTGGGATGATAAGCATAAGCCACCACCCCTGACTCTTCTAATTAAAAGAAATTGGCTACAGGCTGTGCAGCTAAGGTACTTCATTCATGGGACCTGTAGAGATCCTAATAGCACTAAAGGATAGAAATAATATCTTGTAAGTTGACTTTGTATCCAAATAACATTTGCAGTATACCTAACTATTTATCAAAAGGTAAGAAAAATGAGAACCAACAAGAAGGAATGGAAGAGAAGAGAGGCTAAGATACTGCTGATGGAGGACAAGCCCCTACTAGATAGAAGACAGATGGAAGAGGGGGTGTGTGGAGGCAGAGTAAGGGCATAGCAGCACAGCTAAACAGAGCTCTGACCACACCAAATCCAGTTCTTGTTTTGTTGCTTGTTCCGAGTAAACTGGTTTCTGTTTCTATCATGCAGAATGAACTCCAGTTGTCTAAAGCCAACCGGAATGCAGAGACTAGCTGGGGACTAAGGAAATTGTGTGGTAATCATTCCTTCTTGGGACTATACAGCTCCTTTCTCTCACTTGACCACCTCATTTTATAAACTTCTCACTCCCTGGACAACTTATTTTTCTCTTAACCATTTATAAGAGGTTGCAATACTTACATCTTTATCAGCTAGAATATGGAGTCTACAGAGAGTAATATGAGATGTTAGAAGGTATCTACCACTTATTTTCATAAGGTAACCAAAAATCACAGAGTAGCAAATAAAGCACAGGTAGATTTAACTCAAGATGACTTCCTGTAGAAGGCCTATCCCATCATTGATGTGGTAACTTGGATATTCTTGTAAGGACAGGGGCTAGCTGGGATATGAGGCCCTTCCCAGCAGTCTAGTATACAAGGCAGTATTTGTAAAGTCACTCAACACAGCCTTGAACTCAGACTGACCATGACCCTGTACCTCACCACTATTAGGAAGCTCTCCTCTTTTTAAATTCAGCCCAAGATGTCAGAAGCTTTTCTCTTCTCCTCCCATTTCCCCTCCCTAATACCACCACTGGCCCATCAGTTATCCAGTTGACTCCACTCTGCAAGGAAGACATTCTCTTGGCCTGACTCATTCAGTCCCATTTCTCCAGTCATCCCCTCACCACAGACCACAAGGGCCCTGACTAGCTCATGTTTTGTGTTAATGGATGTGAAACTGGAGCAAATCCTCACACCAAAAGAAAAACCAGCCTAAACTCTCCCACACAGGTCTCAGCAGGTTACACAAATATTAGTCCTATCATCCAAATAAATCTGTCTCTGTGGCCACAGCTAGGGCCCCCCTAACCTCCTACTGCCTGAGCAGAATACAGTTATTCCACAAACATCTGAGGACCCTATTATATGTTGAAGAGGAACCCAAGAAAGGAAAGAGGGCCTATATCCAGTTCCTTGTGAATGCACCTTAACCTACAGCCTGTTTTCAAGACAGTCCTAAATTAGAGTTCTTTGAGAAGTTATAATGTGCTTGACCAATCAGGGACCTTGATGAAGAGTATCTGCTGGCTGGAGTTTGGGACACAATTAAATCTCAGGATCTGAGGTAGGTATGTCCCCTCATTTTATGAATGAAAAAACAGAGATTTGGAGATTTTAAATACCCTGCTGAAAATATAAAAAGCAGTAGGTGACATAGTTGTGATTAAACCCAGGTCTGTCTGCAAATTTCTGCAAATAACTGCAAATTTCTACACTACTGCTGTTTATCAGTAGGCAAGAAGATAACCACTGCCCAGGTCACATAAGACTGGGCCATCAAAGCTTCAGATCCCATGTCCTGCCAACTAGCTTACTATGTTTGCTGTCTCTAGAGAGTCCACTACTGTATGCCTAGTTAGGCAATGGTTAGTAGTATAGAAAGAACGCTTCCCTGTTTAAGCCAATCACGGGATGAACAATAATAATCAGTGGACTTGGAGAGTCACTAAATAAAGACTTGCTGAGTAAATGGGGGAAGGCTACTGCCTTCTAAGCTGATTACCACTTTGGCCCCAGCCCCAGCTCTTTCTTTATGTAGCTACTGGCTTTTGCCCCTACCTTCAAAGGTTAGAATTGTCTCCTAAAGAATTGCCAAAGGCAGAGCTTTCTATCTTGTTAGTATACAATGATTCTCACATAGCCCTTTGAGATCACATGTGCTTACCCCCTCCACCCTCTGTGAGCTACCTGCCTTTTACTCAGTCTTTTCCAAATCTACCTAATCTCCAAAATAATTGATTGGGGGGAAAAGGCCCAAGACTGAGCCAGACTTTCTATATTATTCTCTCATAGTTATGTTCCAGAGCTCTAATGATCTCTCACACTTGAGAGTCACTGCATGCCACCTCTCAACAGGCAGCAAGTGAGCAGACTGCTGTCTGATAATAGGTTGAACAGGAGGTGTGGAAAATATATATTTGTATAGTTCATGATTCCCTCTACCCTGCAAAACCAGTAGTTTATAAACTGTATATAAGCATGTGAACGGAACCTTGTCCATTGTGGCTGTCCTCTAGCAGTCTCAGGTTCTCAACAGTAGAGTACTATAGCCTAAGATTGCCCCTCCAGGGAAGGGACATGCAGTTTTTACCTCTGTTCTACCTATCCTCAGCTAGAGTAGGATCAAAAAAAAGGACACTACCTCCAGGTCCCTTTCCTCTCACACACCCGAGGAGTATCAGAAAATCAGTGCAAGGGAAAGGGAAATTGAGCCTTGACCAGGTATTTCAGTGCAACTCAAATCCCTCTGAAGATTGACCCCTACCTCTTCTATTCTCCCTTCAAACCTCCTGAGGGAAAATCAGGGAGCCACTCAGTTTCTTAATATCTCCTATCAACTCCTTTCCAGGGCTAAGGAACCAGCCAGGACACCAGGGTCCCTTTAGATCACTCTCCAAGTCCTTAAACAGAAGCTGTAGCAGCCCAGGATTTAGGGTGGAAGGTGTGCATGCAAGGATCTTGTGCTTTTGAGTTGGAGGCTTGAAGTGGAGGGATGAGTGAGGTATCAGTGTTCAGGTCTGGTCCAACCACTCTGCTTTCTTGGGGGCCTTGCAAGTGTGGACGTCCACAGTGTTTCTGCACTCCTTGCACCGTACAGCACAGCACCAGTGGAATTTGCACTCACACTGGGTGACACGGGTGACTCGAGTTGTGTCATACCCTCGGCCGCAACACATGATTTCACAACCATCTGTTCCTTTAGATGTCTTGCTGCAGACACGACCTGCAGTACCTAGGGAACCTGAGTTGGGGAAAGAAACCAAGAGAACCAAGTTACCTCTTATTTTGGCCACTCTGAGCATCCTTATATTCTTAAGAGGAAGCTATAAAGAATCTCTTTCTGAAAATGCCACCAGCCAAAATAATCATCATCTCATTCATTGCCCTCTGGTCCAGGTTCATTTCTTTCCACTGCCAAACTTCCCCAAAGGTCACTGATTTCACCTTCAGTTCTAGGTGAGGCCTAATTGGGGGGCAGGGGGCGAGGAGAGGCATGACATCATATATTGTCTGGGTTCAAATTCCACTTCTGCCACTTCCATCATTGTGGTGATTTAACATGTTAATTAATGTGCCTGGGCCTCAGTTTTCTTATATAAAAGTGTACATAAAATAGCAACACCTAGCCAGATGTGGTGGCACATGCCTATAACCACACCGTACAGGATGCTGAAGCATGAGGATCACTTTGAGTTCTAGGCTAGGCTGGACTGTGTAGGGAGTTTGAGGCCAGCCTGGGTTACATAGTAAGATCGTGTCTCAGGGAAACAAAAACAACTCAATACTAACTTAATAGATTGTTGTGTTGTATTTCTGTCCAACAGAGGTGAGCTGATTAGCATGGCTGGCTGGAAGCATATCTCTAGGGAGTTCCTGAGGAATAGCTCTTACAGAGGAATTCTTAAAGGGCAGGACAATGTTTTCTCCCTGCACAGGGAATACTCAGAACTTCATTCTGATAGATATCAGAAAAAAAAATCCTGTCAGAAATAATTAAGCCAGAGAATTCTGGAGGTGCTTGTTCCTGTAGAGTACCTACTGCATCCTTTTCCTAGTAACAAGGACCCAGAAATGGGAAGTGACTGGCCTGGGAGTTCAAGAAGAGAGTGGAATCACTGATTTCAATTGCAGTAGTCTACAGCCCATTGGGATATGGGGAGAAAATGGAGAACTTGTTTGTTTTTTATCTTATTGGTTTAAAACCTCTATTTCAGGGATAGGAGTATAGCTCAGTTATCATATGCAAAGCCCTGGGTTGGGTTCCCAGCACTTGTAATAACAATGATGATGACAACAATAAAAATATATATACAACATGCATAATTTATAGTATACATACTAGTACAGTAAAATGTATATATAAGTAAATATAGGTACAAGCTCAATTTTCTTTCTTTTTTAAAAAGTTAATTGCTATCTATTTGTGTGTGTGTATGTGTGTGGGTATGTATGTGCCACCAGTGTACATGTGGAGGTCAGAGAAAATGTGTAGGAGTTGGTTCTCCTCTTGTACCATGTGAGTCCTGGGCTCAAACTTAGGTCAACAGGCTTGGAGGAAGTGCCTGTATCTGCTGAGCCATCTCACTAGCCCTCAGTTTTCTTTTTTAAAGATTTATTTTATCATTTATGTGTGTGTGCCCTCACTTGCATGTATGTATGCATGTGTGTGTGCAAGCATGTGCATGTGGGTACCCACATAGGGTAGAAGAGGGCATTGGGTGCCCTGGAGCTTGAGTTACGGGTGGTTGTGAGCTGCCTGACATGGGTGCTGAGAACCAAACTCGGGTCATCTGGAAAAGCAGCAAACACTGGTTTTTTTTAAATTAATTTTATCATTTCTATTTTATGTGTATGAACATATTGCCTACATGCGTGTAAGTGCACCTGTGCTGTGCAATGCCCGATGAGGTCAAAGAGGGCATTGAATTTCCCTGGAACTGGAGTTAAGAACAGTTGTTAGCCACCATATGGGTGCTGAGAATCGAACTTGAGTCTTCTGCAAGGGCAGCCAGTGCTCTTAACCACTGAGCAATCTCTCCAGCCTGCAGCAAGCACTCTTAACCACTGAGCCATCCCTCCAGTCCCCTTAGTTTTAACAATAGTAATAGACACTCCAGAATGTTAGCAGATTATTGCTATAGACTGTGGGCTGACTAGGCTGCTACATATGTTATTCTCCCAACTCCCAAGGGCGGGTCTTAAATCTTTCTCTCAGACACCAGAAACCTCTTCTGCATTCTGGAACTATGCTGTCCAGTGTAGTAGCCACCAACTACATGTGGTCTTTAAAATTCAATAAATTAAAATTAGGTAAAGTAAAACATAGAGCTTTTGAGTTGGACTAACTACACAGCAGTCTCTCATCTTGTTTATGGTTTCACTTTCTATGGTTCCAGTTACCCAAGGTCAACTGTAGTTCCAAATGAATTAAATGGAAGATCCAGAAATAAACAATGAAAAGTTCTAAATGATTTATTACATTGTTACTAAAATTGTTCTTTTTGTAACTCAGTGGTCGAACACTTGCCTAGCATGTGCAAGGTCCTGGGTTAGCTCAGCAAACTGCCGAAGAAATGGTTCTATTTTATTATTTGTTATCATTGTTCCTCTCTATCACGCCTAAATTAAACTTTACTGCAGGGATGTATGTGTAAGAAAAAGCACAGTGTATATACAGTTTAGTACTATGCAGTTTCAGGCACCCACTGCAGATCTTGGAACACACCCCATATAGGAAGACTGCGAGATTTTGAGTATGCAGCCATCACATGTAGCTAGCTGCTACTGTGCTGGAGAAGACAGCAATGAAGATTTCAGTCACTGCAGAAAGTTTACTAGCTCAGCACTGATTTGGAGGGAATACCTGGCTCCATATTCCTGGGATGACTTACATCCTTTGAATTCTTTTGAGTTATTTATTTATTTAATTTTATGTGTATGCGTGTATCGCCTGCATATAGGTAAGTGCACCCACGTCATGCAGTGCCTGCAGAGGACAGAAGAGGCTGTCAGATCCCCTGGAACTGGAGTTACAGACAGTTGTTAGCTGCCATGTGGGTGCTGGGATTCAAACCCGGGTCTTCTGCAAGAACAGTCAGTGTTCTTAACCACTGAGCCATCTCTCCAGCCCCGAATTCTTTGAGTTTTATAAGACCTAATGTTATGCCTCTGAGAAAAATTAACAAGCATATGACTCACCCTCCCTCCTAACTCCAAAGATCCTTCCCCAAAGGTTTATCTTAGATACAGTAAAACTGGCTTATAGTTTGGATGCTATGAAATCATGCTCAGGCATCCAGACACAAATCCTTGGAATTAGACATGGAAAAACTACCTATTGTCAGAAAATAACTTGAGATGTCCAAAGGCCCCCACTCCAATCTTTTTTCTTCTAGTACTCTACAAAGTTCCTTTCCATTGCTCCAGTAGAGCGCCACCCTGTGTCATTGAACTGAGCTACGTGACTCACCAGGAATGATGGTGATGATGAGTGAAAAGCAGTACAGAAGACAGCCGAGGTTTGGAGCTCCATTTACCCAAATCCTGACTATTGATTCTGCAGAAAAGAGCCTGGGAGTCCCTTGGCAGGAACCAGAAGAGAAGCAGTTCTGTTGTCCTACATATTGTTCCTGCTTTAACCTATCTGGACCAGAAATGATGAGCCAGGATGGCAGCTTCCACCCTCTTGGAGAAATGCCCTGTCACTTTCCTGCGTTTCCTGAATTCCAGCACACACATCCAGAACAGACTGAAGAACAATCATTTCCTACTTGCTCTCAAGCATTTGCTACTTTACCTGCCTCTCTGCAGGGATCTCCTCTTCCCTTGCTTCCCTCACTACATTAGGAACCCGCAGTGGCAGCAAAGGCCTTTCAAGATCATTCATGGCCTACTCCAACCTATCTTTCTACCTTGACTCTCCCTTGCCAGACATCTTTATTAAGTCAGATTGGTCTGCCCCATCCCTGGAACAGATTCTGTGCTTTCCCACCTATCACTCTGCTTATTTCAGGAGAATTTCTGCTTATTTTCTCTAGCTCTCTTGACACTTTAAGAAGCAGGTTAAATTCCCCGTGCACAAGTAATTTTATCTTTATTTTTATTTCTTCAACCATCTCTATTTGAAGTTACATTTGCTCACTCATTAAATCTCTTTTGTTTCTTTCTTACAGTGCAAGGGATCAACCCCAGGGCCTTGGATATGCTAGGCAAGTGCTATCAACTGAGCTTTATTTCCAGCCCCCATCTCATTGTGTTAGCTAGACTGTCAAGAGCCAGAGGCTTAGTGCTACAGCCTATGTAGCTCATACCTTGCTCAAAACTGACATCAGGTGGCTCTGAGTAGTAGCTACTATAGCCCAGATGTTGGGAATACAGTAGAATGATATAGAACCTCAGGATTCAAGGATGAGTCACCCCCTTCTATTTGTGCAGCCTTGGGCACCACCAAACTCCGGTCCTGGTTTTCATGCAGGGAGGTGACTGGCCCTGCTTCCTTAACTCCTGCAAATGGCCAGGCCCTGGTAAACCAGCAGTGCCTACATTAATACCTGGGCTCCATGTCTTTGCCTGCTGCCTTTCTCACCTGCAGCCTTGTCCAAGACACAGTAGTCTGGAGAGTTATCAAAGTAGACAAGGTCAGTTCGGGTGGCACGACGATAGCCTTGGCGGGCTGCTGTGAAATTGGCACCATCCTGGGTGGCCGTCACCTGCACAGCCCCATCATAGCGCCTACGCAGGTAATCACCTGTGCGGCGGAAGTCTGAGAGTGCACGCCAGCAGGTTCGCAGAGTACAGGAGCCACTCACACCATGACACTTACACTCCAGCTTCAGAAATCTTCGCACAGCCTAGAGGAGAGGAGCGAGGTCAGGGAGAGACTTAGGTCAGGGCACTTTTTAATCATCCTTAGGACCAAAAGCCAGGGGTTCTCTGAGCTCTGCTGGCTCAGGCCTGCTGGTTGGGCGCTTGGTGGTTCTCTGTCATATCAGATCCCACCTATTCTTCCTGATCAAGGTAGAGAATCTCCTCTTCCAGGAAATCTTCCTGGACCAATAGTACTTGGCCCTTCATGACTGCTTGCTGGGCTTTTGAGCTGTACAATTCTGTTCATGATTACAGCTTGCACATCCTTTAGCTCTCCTGTGTTTTAGAGGGCCGAGTGCCATGCTGTCTGTTTCTGTAGTGTCACTTTTCAGCACAGTCTATAGACCCTGCTTAAATACCAGTGAATAGTTTAGGACAATTATCTGAATTTCTCAATTTTTATGAAAACATTGTATCCTTTTTTCCCATCTTTCTTTTTGAGACAGTTTCCCCTGTAGCCTCAGCTGGCTTGGAACTCACTATGTAGACCAGGCTGGACTGGAACTCACAGAGATTCACCTGTTTCTGCATCCCAAGTGCTAGGATTACAGGCATGTGCTACTGCACCTGGCTTGTTTGTTTTTTCCTTTTTAAGAAGTGCTGGGCTAACTGGCGCTACAGGGAGACCCTGTCTCAAAAAAAAAAAAAAAAAAAAAAAAAAGGCCAAAAACAACAAAAAAGGAGCTACCTTGGGGCCAATGAGATGGCTTCAGTGAGTAAAGGTGCTTGCTGTGCAGGCCTGGCTACCTGAATTTGATTCCCCAGAACCAAGTAAAGGTGGAAAGAGAGAACCAACTCCATGGAGTTGTCCTCTGACCTCTACACGTGCACCCATACACATACATCATGTATACACACAACAGTAACAATAAAAAATAATTTTTTAATCCCAGCACTTAGGAGTCAGAGGTAGGTAGATGGGTCTCTGTGAGTTCAAAGCCAGCCTGATCTACATAGTGAGTTCCAGGCCAGCTGGGGCTACAGGGAGACCCTGTCTCAAAAAGACCAAATAATAATAATAATAATTTTAAAAATAAAATTTAAAAATAGGCTACTTTTGGGTTTTGGAGACGGTTCAGCAGGTCCATGTACTTGCTGTGCAAGCATGAGGACCTGAGTTTAAATCCCCACAATCTATGTAAAAAGCTGGGCATGGCTGTGGCTGGAGAGATACTCAGAAATTAAGAGCAACTGCTACTCTTGCGTAGGACCCAGATTCAGTTCCTACACCCACATGGCAGCTCATACCACCTGTAACTTCAGTTCCAGGAGTTCTGATATCTTCTTCTGGTCTCTACAGGCACTGTGTGAACATGCTACACATACATACATGCAGGCAAAATACTTATAAAATAGAAATAAACTGGGTGTGGTGGTGCACGCCTTTAATTCTAGCACTGTGGAGGCAGAGGCAGGCACATCTCTGTGAGGCCAGCCTGGTCTACATAGCAAGTTCCAGGCCAGCTGCAGCTACAGGGAGACCCTGTCTCAACACCTCCCCAAATAATTAAAAAATATGTTTTAAAAGTAAGGCATGGTAGTGTGCATGTCTGTAAAACCCAACACTGTAGGGAGGCTGAGCCAAGATTAGAGACAGGACGATCACTGGAATTTGCTGGCCACCAGCTTAGCTCCACCCTGTCTCAATGGAAGAAGGTGAAAGTGACAGAGCAGGACACCTGACATCTTCCTCTACACTCTGTGGGCAAGTACAGGTATGTGCACTCACACACACAAATTTAAAAAAAATTAAAAGCTACTTTTTAGGCATAAGTGGCAGACACCTATAATCCTAGCACTTAGGAAACTAAGACAGGAAGATTGCCACAAAATGAGCTCAGCCTGGGCTGAAGGCAGAATGAGACCCTGTCTCAAAAACAAAACAAAGCAAACTAAACAATGAACTAGAAAGATGGTTTAATGGTTAAGAGCACTTACTCTTGCAGAGGACCTGAGTTCTGTACTAAGTACCCATGCCAGGTGCCTCACAGCTCTAGGAGGATCTGATGACTCTGGCCTCTGAGGGCACCTGGACTCACATGCACATGCCCACATAGATACACATACATATAATTAGCAAGAAATCTTAAAACAGGAAGGAACAAGGAAAGGGGGAAGGGAGAGAAGGTAGAGGAAGAAAAGGGGGTGGAAGAAGGAAAGAGTTTTCTGCTTTCTACTTTCTGCCTGTGTGAATACACGCTTGAACAAGTATTCCCATGCCCCCTTGCATTTAGGGTCCTGTGCTAGGATGTTAGAGCCTTCACCTCTTCCACCGTCACATTTAGCCTATGGTCACACAAACTGGTCACACCAGAAAAATCTGAATGTCTATATGCAGACATGAGTACTGACCGTACGACCACAGCGGTTGTTATGTAAGTTCATGAGGGCCCTGGCGTCCTTGAGCCTCTTCTCCTTGGCATCCACAAAGGCCTTAGCAAAGCGAATACCATAGTGGATGTTGTCACTGCAGCCACCCCAATCAAAGTCCCCTCGTTGGTCATGGTGTCGACCACGGGTATATGGGTCACAGCTGCACACACTCAGTTCACCCTGGCTGCAGGCCCGAGTGATTGCGTGGACCACTCCTGCTGATGAGATGGCATATACAAATGCTGCCTCCCGGCTACCTACAGAAAGGTAGAGGGGGTTCAGAAAGGGAGTTGGGTCTGTCTCCCCCAACACACACTTTTTTTTTTTATCTTACTCCATGGCCCAGCCTAGACTTGAACCCAAGATTTTTTTGTCTCAGCCTCCCTAGTACTAAGATTACAGGAATGGGCCACCATGCCCAACTCTGTCCATCCCCTTCTTTAGTCCACACAACCTCAGAAGCCTCATCTCCTCTTTTCCAGAGCTACTCACCACTCTACCCTTTCTTCAGGGTGCCCTTCCCTTTCAAGAATATCAGATCTCTCCCCACAGCCCTCACTGTTCCACTTCTTTGTACATCTGACCTCTCTGGGTTGGCCTCCATTCTGTTTCCTCTTCTTTACCCTGTGTTCCTTGCAATGAAAGCATCATGGTGAAGCTGACTGCTATCCCCTGTGCAGCTAAGCCTGCCTTAGTCAACACTCCAGGATTTTCAGCCCCACTCTGCTGGACAGTTCCCCTGCACTGCCGACCCCAACCCCGGGGTCAGCCTGTTTGGAGAAAGATGCCAGCTTCCTCTGCCTACTCTGCTCCCCTCCCTGCCCTTGAGGACAAATGATCATCACCACCAGTTCCCCTTCACTTCCAGATTTCTCGTCTCATTCCCTTTCTCCTCTACTTTCTATCTCTACTTAACTCTTTTACTGAACTGGGGCCACGCCACTGACTCTCCATATATTTACGTATCACCTTTCTGTTTATCTCTTGTTCCCATTACTATAATATTGGGATTGTGTGGGTGACTGGGTGACAACAGTGATTGTGGTAAGAACCAAATGAGCTGGTCCGAGACCTCAGCCTTAGAGTTTATGGCTGCTTCCTTGGGCTGGGGGATGGGGAAGTCAGAGAAAGAAGGGGCAAAGATGGAGGTGCTAGGGAATACTTACCTTGAGAGGGGTCCCTGCTTAGAAATCTAAAGTAGAAAGGGGCTATTCTGTCTTCTGGGCTTGCCCACAATTGTTTCTGGAATTAGGAGGTACTGTGTAGGAATGGGATGATGAAAGGGGGATCATGCATACCCTTCCAACTTACCACCCCAGGATAGGAAGGGAAAGGGATGGGGCAGCTTGGAAGAGGACCCTACTTCTGAGCATGACCCGGCCAAAGACAGTGTGGTCCCGGTCCAGTGTGGTGCAGTTCCAACGGTGATGGCGAAACTGATGCTGACACTCTCGGATCCATTCTCGGGCGCCTTCGCCCACGGAGCGCATGATATCTGGGTAACGCTGACACAGCTGCCGCTGCCGGCTCACCAAACCTGGGATGTTGTCACAGATCACTCGGGCTCCCAGTGCCCCTATGTACCTGTAATATGGAGGTGGCCTTGTCAGAGCACTGAAGGGGGGTGCATCAACAGAGAGACAAAGCAGGGAGGGGCAGATATTTAGTATCTAGACCTTGGAGAGATTCCTTCTCTTCCCCAGATATTCCCTGAGGCTGGTGGGTAGAGCCATTCCCCACAGGCTCTAAAGAAAGTTACACAGTTGCAGAAAGAGTAATTGAGTGGTCACCCATCATTACTAGTTCCCTAGCCAAAGGCCAAAGTGACACACACTCCCAGAACACAGGCCAGGCATGTGTCACATACACAGAAGCTGTGGGCTTGTCATACAAACCCATTGCCTGTTTATTTAATAAACATTAAGGTCCTCACAGAAAAATAAACTAACAAAACGAGAATCTGAGACAACACTCTTACACGCACATGTAAGAGGCACAACCCGAGTGACTGGTCAGTGAAGGCACGGTTTGGCCACAGCAGAATGAAGAGAGGGAGGGGCTGGTTGGAGGGGACACATTGGGCAATTCTGAGTAATGTTTACAGCTCTGAACCATGTAGCTAAAAAGTCCTCACTTCCAGTCCTGAAGCCCAATGAACAAGACTCCATCCCCTATCCTCCTCCCCATTCCCTTTATTTCCAGGCCCTAGGGCTTTTCTTAATTAATGAAGCTTTTAAAATCACTTTCCTCATCCTACTAAGGCACAACATCCAAGAAGGACTTGCATGAGGACTGTTTTCAGTGGGAAGCGTGAGTAAGACAAAGTGGTAAGAGTCCCACCCGGAATGGACACGCCTTTAATCCCAGCACTGACTTGGGAGGGAGGCAGAGGCAGGCAGAACTCTCAGGCCAGCTTGGTCTACATAGCAAATTTCAGGCCAGCCATGGCTACATAGTAAGACCCTATTCCATTTTTTTATTTTTAAAAGAAAGGTGGTAGAGTCCACAGTCTGCCAAGTCTGAACAATTTACCAGGTCAACCAGGATGGGCACTGAAGGATAGGTGGGTTGTCAGCATTGCTCTCAAACTGCTCAAGGTGATTTTACCTTCCCTTTCAAACATTCTTAACCCTGGATCCTACCACAGCCCAAGGAAAAAGTTTTTGAGAGAAAGCAGGAGTATATCACCCCTTTTCCCCAAGAAGCTCCCTAAAGAGATGACAGCCATTCTCTCTGTCTTGAGCTCTGCTTCTCTCCCCTTCTGTCTCCACCCCACAGCACTTTCCTTGGTCTTTTGAGCATTCACTGCTCCTTTGTCCACACACAGCAATGGACCTCTGTTGTCCCCTGTTCTGAATAGGTGGGGGCTATGGACAGCTGTTGCTACTGCACACAGAAAAACGTAGGTCCAAGCTATGAATGAGACAGTGGTTTGGAACCGGCCCCAAAGTGGGCCTAGAAGTGGGTGAGGAGAAAGACCAGCCAATGGGGGAGGGACAAGCTAACCATCCCTGAGCCCTGCCCCAGCCATACATTCCCACAGCCAGCCCTTACCCACAGACTGATCACCACTAGTGACACCAACTCAAACAAACACAAGGAGGGCTGATGCTTGCCTCTTCGGAAACTCAGCAGGACTGATGGGCCCCATCTGTCCCTAAGGAGGGGTGAGAGGGCTGGTGCTCCACGAACAAATCCCATGGAATCAGCGTCCCCAGCACTGTCCATCAGAGCAGCAGCTTCCAGGAACAAACAAAATAAACACCCCAGGCTGGGCCAAGCCGGAAAGGGCTGCCTGACGCACAGCCTGGAGTTACACCCACTGCCCTGGTGCTTTGTTTGGAGAATCAAGACCGTTGGAGTTGGAGCTGGTCCCTGTCTCACCACCGTTCTGCTTCCCTAGTTCAGCCCCAGATTACTGATCTAGGCATTGGGTGTTTGTTTTTTTAACTGGGGCTTGGAGGAGGGGGGTTGGATGGGAATGGGAGACCAATAATCCAGCCCTCGTAGACAGTCTGGAGAGGGGCAGGCCAAACTCTGGTAAAAAGGCCTTCCTGTGGTCTGACTTAAATCCATTCAGCTGCAGCCCCCATTGGTCCTTCTTATTACATCCTCAATGAGCGTGGGAACATCTGTTCAGTATCTAGAGATCAGAAGATAATTAAGTTTCCCTATTGCCATGCTTGTTCCACTAAGTAACTGCTTCAAGACCCTGCAGAGCTCAGGGCCTGCCTGCTGTCTGGTTCGCAGTACCTTATAGTTAGTGTGGGGGCCACAAATAATCTGAGCCTGAATCTGAACCCATTTCCCTCAGCTCAGTTCATGCTTTCCCAGTGCCTGCCATATGGCAATCACCGAGCTCAACTGTTAGGGACACAAAGATTTTATGATCTCCCCAGCTTATAGTGTGGGAGAAAAAGCCTGGTGTCCCAACTCTCAGAGTTTGTTTTCCCTTCCAGAAATTATTTCTGTACTTCATGACTAGATTCCTGCACTGGAGTACTCTCCACCTGCTTTTGACCAATTCACAGTCTGTCCTTTGACAAAAGTAACTCATACCCTAGTCTAGCCCCTTGTGCCTCGAAGTATGGTCCCCAGAACAGAGATTTGTAAATGCAGAGTCTCAAACTGCCACCAGCCCTCCTGAATCAGAATCTGCATGTCTTCAACCTCCCCAGTACTAAAAACAGCATCAAGCACATAGTAGGTATTAAATAACCACCAGCCTGCTCTAATCATCCCGTTTCCATCTCTCTCTAGCCAGCCATGAACTCCATTTCGGTTTTACTCCTTGTCAACACTGCCTGTCTTTATGAAGATGTCCTGTTTGTATGTCTTTTTAATAGGGCCAAGGATCCTCTTTTCTCTCCTTTTATGTGTATATCCCCCTAGTGTGAATGCTTCAACCCAACACATACAGGACTTCAAACACTGGGGTAAAACTGTTAGGCTCCTGAATCAGCTCTTAAACCACAGTGCTTGCATAGTACTTTACGGTTCACAAACCATTTTTCTGTGTAGAAATCTCAAAAACGCCATGCAAAGGCACGGTAGGGCAAGAATCTCTATTGTAGGTTTAGGAATACTGAGAGTAATCTCACTCTGTACAGGGCTACTTGGGGAAGAACCAGGATGAAGGAAGACCATCTGACTTCAAACTCCAAAGGTTATGTTGTTTTGTTTTTGTTGTTGTTTTTATTTTGGCTTGGTTTGGGTTTTTTGTTTGTTTGTTTGTTTCTTAAAAAGGGTCTATGTAGCCCTGGCTGGCCTGCTTGCTATGTAGAACAGTATGGCCTTGAATTTACAGAGATCCCCTCCTGCCTCGATTAAAGGCATGTTCCACTATGCCCAGTCTTTGTTTTTTTTGTTTAGTTTTGTTTCGTTTTGAAACAGCCTCACTGCATCCCAGACTAGTCCCAACTCATGATTCTCCTGCCTCAGCCTCCTTCGAAGTGGGATTACAGGTATGTGCCATCATACACAGGAGTAAAAGAGGCACACGGTGTTTGTCCAGAAGTAAAGCTTTCTCACTCCAAAACTGGTGTGAACTTGAGTTGTTTGTTTTGCTTTGATTTCACCATTTCTCTTCCATCCCTCACTTTCTTCATTTGTGAGAGAGGAATAATAATAGTACCTACGTCACTAGACCATTCTGGAGGTTAAAGATGACGCTCATACAGTATGTTGTCATCCTGCCTGGAACTTAGTAAGGGTTCAGTAAATGGTAATTCTTTGGGGGTAACGGTTGTGTTAATGTGATCCTTTTTGGTCCTCTCTACGAACACAGTCATCTGCTCTTGAGATTCTCATCTCCACCTTTCTTGTTTGTCACAGACTAAGAAGAAATCATTTCTTCTTCTAGCTAAGGGTAGAGAGGGAAGGAGAGGGAAGAGAAGAAAGATGGGGACAGGGATGGCCTTCTGTTCTGTAGCAGAACATAGGTACATCAAGCACAGAGAGCTGTCTCTGTCTAGGGCTCGTGCCCAATATTTGGTCTTGCTTGGTTTTTTCTTAAGGGAAGGAGAGCTAATCACCTTGGAAGCCTGACCTGCCTTCAGGTTTCCACCTTTTTCTACAAGTGGTGGCCACTGAGACATGCATCTGTGGCTACTGCAGTGACAGGTGGGGGGCAAGGAGATGGAAACCCATCTTGGCTCTGATGTCTTCCTCTATTTCATAAGAACTACTTGGTCCCTCTGTGTTCCTGGCTTCCCTTCCTAGTTCTTCCATCTAGAAGTTTTTTCAACATCTCTAATATGAACCATGCAGGGGAAGGGAGGGAGAGGGAGAAAGGAAATGGGAGAGGGCATAGTCAAGGGTAAAGATGGGAATTGGAAGAGCAGCACTTGTGTCTTCAGAAACCACTACCAGGATGTTGAGATGTCCAGAGTGCCACTTTGTCATTTAAACATCAGTTGGCTGTCTCATCAATCCAGACTATCTCAAACTGGTAAGAAGTGTTCTGGAAAGTTGCCATGTGGGCCAGATAAAGGTTGGCAGTGGGCACTTCATGCTCCCATGCTTTCTCAAGATGGACCCTGAAGATTTAAGTTCCCAGCCAAACTGAACCATGAAGGTGAAGGGGGGCTTTGATCTCACTTTGAATGCTGAAAAGCTTTTTCCTTCCGTCTCTCCTTTCCCTTTCTAAAGGAATGTTTCAAGCCAGATGTAAGATATAGGCCTCTCTGCTCCCCGCATCTGAACCCCCCTCCTTGCCTTCCCCAACACTGCAGAGATAAAAAAGATCCAAAAGAGAGATTTTTTTTTTCTTTAACAGGAAAACAGGGGTGGGGGTGGGGATGGAGAGAGCTGCATCTTGAAATGATAGGAATCTGCAGCCCAAGCTAGCTGGCCCCTCAGCCAACTACCCCTCACCCTTCCAGCCAAGATTCCTGGTCAAGAGGAGCAAAGCCACAGGGTGCAAGAAGAGAAGAGACCACACTTCACAGGGGTTGGGGTGTGCTGGTTGCAGGGGAGAAACAGCAAGGGAAGGAAGCTGGGGGCTGCATGGTAGACAGGGGCACTAGCCCACCCCAAGAGGCCAGATGAGAGGAAAGATGAGAGGATGAAATTTTTTACAGTCCAACTCTTCCCCTTTTTCTTGCCCCCCCCCCATAGCGAGAGAAAACAGCCCTTTCTGAGAAAAGATGAGTGTCATCCAGGGCTGGGGGTTCCTGGGGATGGGTGGGGAGTTCTACAAAGAACATAGGACAGACATCCAGTCCATCGGCTGTCTTTTGCCTCATCTACTCTCTTAAGAAGGGTCTGGAGACTGAGGCCCATGAGAGATCTTAGGAGAGAGAGAGAGGGCCTCAGTACTCTGAGACTCAGGAAGCCTCAGGGGCTTGGGTGGGAGTTGGGGTCATCTGGGAAAGAAGAGCAAGAAGGAGGGGGGACATCTGTGTTCCAAGTGACACCCTCAAAGTCCAGGCTGAAGACAACTGTCCCCAGTTATGCAAACTCAAGTGCTTAATTTAATTGTGGGAATTCAGGGGGTAGTTTTTGCCTCCAGTTCACATCTAAAGTTTGCGCTGGGTGCTGCTGCCTCACCCAACTGTCCTGCATTATTGTGTGGGCTAGACTCACAGAAGCCTGCCCTTGCCAGCTGCCCCCTGCTCCGCCTCCAAGGGGGAGACCTTAGATGATCCAAGGCCCTGCGGAATAGCCACTGCACGCTGCCGAGGGGAGACTGGTTCCTTGGACCCACCGCAAGAGCAAAATCAGAAGGTCGCTTCTGCTGTAAGGTTTTGAGCATAAGTAGAGGGGGCACAGCAGAGGGGCCCAGAGGACCTCAACCACTGGGCGACCTTGCTGCTGATGCCCCGCGCCCTCCTCTCCAGGCCAGTAAGACACGGCATCTCTTTCTCTAGTGTCACTCCAGACTTCTGTGTTTGTTCTGCCAGGATCGCCTCTAATTCCATCCAGGCAACAACCGGGTCCCCCCCAGCAGCCGGAGCCTAGAGCTGTACCTTCCCTGAACCTTCGCCCAGCCCTGAAAGCACTCACCACCAGGACGTGTCTACACGGGCCGGCAGTGTCAGCAGTAGTAGCAGCAACAGGCAGGCAAGACTCAGACGGGCCGAAGCCGGGGACACGTCGGGGGCCAAGGGTCTGGGCGCCGGCGCGGGGACCAGGGCGCGGGCGCGCCGAGAGGCGAGCTGCGCGGCTTCCTCCGCACCCCGCGGCTTCAGCATAGCTCCGCGAAGACTCCCGCCTTGCAGCCCGCAGGGGCGTGGACGGGCACCGTCTGGGCTTCGTCAGGCGTCTGCTACCTCACCCCTCTGGGTGGCCATGGGGATCGTGGGCGGCGGGGGACCTCGGGTCACGTGGAGTGCAGGAGCCCCCGCACAGGGTCCCGGGAGGGCGCGTGTTAGCAGGGCTCTGTGCGGCGGCAGGGGCTCCGAGGCGCGCAGTGCGGCGGCCGGAGCACGCGGACAGCCCCCGCGGCCGCAGCTCTCATTGGACGGCGCGGGGCGGGGCCG